CTTTTCTTTTTCCTCCTCAGCTTTGACAACTTTGAGTGCTGAAAAATATCAAAATTACGGAAATTACGGTTTTACCATCAAAATTATTACTCTGCCGTACATGACAAGACTTGACCCAAATAACATGAATGCTCCCACAGCACCAAGGTAGAAGCAGATTCCCAACCTGAATCGAATACGTCATTTCTTAGCACTGTATAGCAAGTATAAAAAATGAAAAAAATTTTCTCCTCATTGGAGGATTTTTTCCTCGACTTTTTCTTTCCTTTTACGATTTCCTACTTTAACGGCTACTGAAACCATAAATGGTTAAACTTGTGGCGTAAAACTGTTGAGTGAATTCTCAAAGAACAGCTTCTATACAAATTCACGACATAACTTTCCGTAAAACTCCAAAGTAAGCCCCTCTTTATTACGAAGGTGTAGGGTAATAACCATATTGGTTGAACCTGCTGTACATGTAAGCCGAAAATCCAGCGTAGATTCCCAAGCCGCTTGCCGCACAGACAGCCCCCAAGACACATATGAGGAAATACATAAATCTATCCGACTTGCGCCTGAAATAGAAAATGCTTTCATGGTTATATCGCTGAACGGATAATCTACTGTTAAGGAGGGAGTCGGAATGAACTCGAAAACTGATTCAAGAATTGGCACTTGGCAAAAGTATTGGGAATATACATTTTCAACTCGCCAAAAATGTATGCAAAAATTCATCGAATTTTTTAATTGTCATCAACACACGTGGAAACACCTTTGAACTGCTTTTCCACAACTGTTAGAATATATCATCCGAACATTCTCCGTATTGCCAACCAAAGAGGAGACTACAATATTCACTACTACTAACAGCCGAATTCTCAGGGATTTCATATACGTATTATCCAATAATATTATATACAGTGTTGGAGTATGAATATATGTTCGCTTTCCTCACCAGCTGAGCTCAAGAGTTTCCTATACAGTGTTGTAGTATGAATATATGTTCGCTTTCCTCAGCAGCTGAGCTCAGGAGTTTCTCAACTAATTGTGAAGCTCACGACTTGAGGTAGAAGTGTACAATAAATTTTCAAAAGTTGCCACATAGTCACCAACACATGTAGTTGACCACGTGCATATTCTCTCACATTGATTTTTACTCCAATTCCTAAGGATTTTCCCCAAAACTAGCTTCAGCATATTTCAACCACGAGTTCAACGAAGTTTCACCTCTTTTACGTGAAGTGGCGTTTTACTGCCCAAAAAAACCCGAATTGTGAAAAATGTGTTTTTTCATATCGCGGGTGAAACTCCAATGATAGTCGTATTATTATTATTATTACTCTTTCACGACCAACGGCATGACCGAAGCCAGAAATGAGATGAGCGGACCCAAAACGACCAAACCGGCGACCAGGAAATTGAGATAGAAAAATACCGTATATAATTTGCATCTGAAAAGAAAGGGAGTAAGTGATTTTTACGTAATTTTCCTCTACCGTAAATTCAACTGGAATAGACATTCAGCTGGGCACTGCCCCCCAGTGACTGCTGTAATAACACTGGCGACAGACTGTTTTGGGAGACCTATGGAAAATGATATTGAAGTCGTTGAGGGGAGCCTCTTTGACCTTGCTCAGCCATAGCAACATCGCATGTGTTGGCTTTGATTTGAATCCACGTGAGATCAGCGGCAGTACGTAAAACCGGAGTGTATTTCCCAGAGGCTTTGAATAAGCCAATATTTCTGAAAGAAATGTGGTATGAAAATAATAGGAAATTATTAGTAACTAACCTTTGGGGGAATTTAAGTGCGGGTAGCATCGGATTAGAAAGCCAATAAGCATATAGACGAGTACTGCCATGAGGCATAGACCTGATAGGAAGAG